GATCATGAGTACGTGCAAACACCTGTGCCTATATAATATCAATCAGTTGATAGAAAGCAATATTAGTTGTTGTTGGTAAGTACCTTCTGTTACAATCCAACGATATTCTTATCGTTCCTTATATACACGTAGGCACTTCCGCTCCCTAATAAAGCATTGGCATCGACATTAACCTATAGTGGTTTTCTGTTTGCGTAAACAAGTAGAATGTGAATTTCTAGTTATTTATTTAAAATTACTGATGTAAACGAATTATAATGATTGTGTTTTTTGGCACCGAAATGTTTCTGCGATAATCTAATTTCAGTTTGTTTGCTTTAATTTTTCGCTTTTGCTGTCGTTTTCTTGTTGGTATTCATAATTAAAATAGAAGCGCACGTTTGTTCTGATCCGAATAACAACGGTCCAGCTGTAACGTTTGGTTTATACTCATAGCTCTCGACTGCTCGCGTGTGTTATCCGTGATCGCGTGTTCGTGACTACGTATATTATCGGAGGTAACGCGGTGTCGTGATGACAAACAATGAATACTGAGGATACGTGGTTAGATTACAAACATGTTTACTAGCTCCGACGTCGTACACACATAACAAGGGTCCGTGTAAATGACCCGTACGAATACAGAAAGGTACGCGGAATACAATGTGTAACTTACATCTCAGTTGGATGGTAGCTATGGTACTAGCACTATTGACGTTACGTCGTGTAGGCAGCAAAACGGATAGATCGAGCTCCTTCTTTTTGACAAACATTATTCTTTATAGTGACGCGGTCTCTATTGTCTAAGTTCCCCTCTTGCCTATTGGCTGCGGCCTTGTCGGTCAAGTGGGCCCGCCAGCCCAGCGCTGCCATTGGCTGGTTATGCGCCATTAATCTCTGTTCACGCGTGTCCGTTGGACACGCGATCCTAGTGGCCGTTGGTGTGGGTCGTGGTCACGCCCTTTTTATGGCCCGGCCAATTGCGTGCTGCAGCCACTGTTAGCATGTGCGTGTTTTTTAGACAATGGCCCTGTCCTATATCTTGTGATCCTCGTATTTCGTCTGCCCTGTTTCTATTTATTATGATATTTATTATGCTAGCCGCACACTATCCGACCCGAGCGTGATTTGAAGGCTTACGATTGGATTGAGATGTCATAGACGGATCCAGGGGGGGGGGTCCAAGGGGTCCGGACCCCCCCTTTTTTGGAGGGGCAAATTATTTATTATTGCACTGAAATGGAACTTTGTCGCAATCTGAACAACGAAATGGGGTTAGTAATGTAATTACGTCGATGTCGTTTTCTCTCTGCCAACACAAACTAAGCTACCTACCACCAGTAACGATGTCTTGAATGCCAACTTGAGCGACTTCCGCCATATATCCAAGGACAGAGAAGACGACGAAGCCAGCAAGGAGACTGGTAGCACTGTTCACGACCGGTACCAGGTAACACTCTCTAAAGTAACAACATATTATGCCCACGCATCACACATTATTATCGTATATCCACAAGTCCAAGCAACAAGTTATCGTTTATAATTTTTTATATGCTCATAAATCAACAGATATAAAATTTTGTCTCAATAGTATTAAAGCTACAAACGGATCATTTTAATTTTTTTACTCATTTTGAACTTCGAAGAATACAGATATTAATGACTCGATATTTATATGCAGTTACAAACGACTATAACGACAGCAATATGTAGAGAAACACTTCGTGCATTTACTTGAATTAGGTACTGTGTAACAATAGCTCATACATTAACATGTTGTTGTGGAAACGGTTGTATGATGCCATCGTAACCACAGCACCCCAACCTGGTCCGAGTGAGTAGAATATCTGCACAAAGGCCAAACCCCAAACCTGAAACATAAAAGCTGACAAGATATATCAAGTTATATTTTGTATACATGTCTGTAATTGTGTATACATGTCTGTATACATATTCCGTAATTGAAATGTAGCATGACTACTGACGAAACTTTTCATCGTAATTATTAACAATCATTATTGGTGAGCTGAGGTTGTTGGGGAAACGAACCCTAAATTCAAGCAGAGCCTCCCATTTCGGGTAAAGATAAAACTTGATGCCATTGTAAGCTCCCGGCAGGGTCACACCTCTCACCAGCAGTATAAGGAGAATCACATAAGGAAAGGTAACGGTGAAGTACACCACCTGCACAAATCAAAGCAATAAAAACATTAGTTTATCTGAGCGTGTGTGCTTTGTAAATAACACATAATAATATCGCAACAAAATCAGTGCAGAATACAACAATATCTGAAACCATCTGTTTCACCAACTTTGCCCGATGCCGCTAATTGTACCTTTCCCGTTGATTTGATGCCCTTAGAGAGGCAGACGAGAACGATGAAGCAGCCAATGCAGTAAGCGAGCAGCAGCTTCCAGTGAAAGCCACCAAGGTTGTGAAGCCCTTCAGAGATCTCCAATATAAAATTGCTGCATGTCGAGTTTAAAAAAATCGTAGTTTTACCCTTAAAGAATGAGATGCGAGCGTGTATAGCTCGACAAAATGCTGAGAAAGAATTAGGTAGATATATATATTGCATATTAAAATAAGAGATGGTCCCTATATGGAACACTTGCCGCGCATAAATGATAACCAATATAGAATATTATAATGCACTACGTTGTGGAATATATTAAGAGCAAAAGAACAAAGCAAAACTATCACGTACTAAAAGAATTCCTCCGTCGCCGACGAAGTCCTGGTTACGACCCCGCTGATGTTAGCTGTGCCCGCGTCTGCTGTAATGTTGTCCACCATGGCGTCTACAAGCTGCGACTGGTTAGACTCACCGGACATGTTAGAGCTTCCGAGGAGATCGGAGCCACGCTGCAGACATGCGGCAGTGTTCCACGGATTCATGCACGTCTCCCACGGCAATAGCTTCGTGAAGGACATCCCCAAGTAGAAGAGGATGTAGGCCACGATCAGGTTGTATACGACGCAATACAGCACTGACACCAATATCATTCCGAAACCAACACCTATACATTTGAGAACGAACAATCTTTCAAGATTTAATTAGAGAGCTCTATGAATTGAAGACTAACTATAGTCCTATCTTAGGCAAATATGTAGATATGGAAAGTAATGCGTTTGGTTGGCTGCTATCACATGTTTTAACTCCGCGTAGGCGTTTCAATGAGAATTAAACAATGCTACTCACCCTTAAATATAGGACTTATGTTCCACATTAAAATTCCTCCACTGCTTGAAAACTGACCTATGCCTACATCCAGGAAGAACAGAGGCATTCCGCACACAGCGAGTGCTATCAGGTACGGGATGAGAAAGGCTCCTGTGTATGAACATACCTAACATCAGGGTCGGTACGATGTTAACAACGCCTCCCACCCAGGACGTTCAAACCGACACGCTTCTAAAACTTACGGTTGAAAAGAAAATTTCTTCTATGAAAAATGTTTTCTATTTTTCCATTAATTGTTGAATTTACAAAATTATTGTTTTATTTATATATACTCGATACCATATGACATGTAGCGTATAGGGTGACGCTACCCAAGAGTGAGTGAGGGAAAAGGTAGGAGAATAACAGTTACTATGAAATGATAGTAAAAAGCGAAGACTTTGGATAAGGGACAAGATGTATCTTTATTGCAACTGAGAACCGGTGACAGGAACTAGATCACACCAAGCGCTAGTGTAATCGGGAAAAACAGTGTCCCACTATGCGCGCCAACGCCCTATTTCTATTCCCCTCTTCTCGCTCTTATGTCTTACGCATGCGTCGTCATTTCTCTACCTCTACGAGGGCGTCGCCAAGGCGTGCGTCGTCGTCACTCTCGTAGGTCGCCATGTTAGATGGCATGGATATTTTTTAATACAGAATAATTTGGTATTCCTGGTTCTTGATGGTACCTAGTACCTGCGACGGCAATGCAGTATTGATCCGCTGTGCAGAGTTCGTCACATAAATAAGGGATTGCTTTGATATTTCTCTATGGATGTTGATGAATGCATGTAATGCGAGCCTTAATGAAATGGATGTCGCGTTGATAGTATAACCTGAGTGTAATATTAGTCGCTACAGACATTTTCCAGTATATTTAAAACAAAGTCACATTTGCTATAACGAGTATCCTAATCGCGTGCATTGTAACAGGGGTTACTAATATAATAACATATATACTATACTAAATAATATAATATACAATATAACATATAACTATATATAATTACAAATATTGTCAGTTATTCAACAATTTGAACAATTATTGAACAATTTGTTATTATTAACCCCTTATTATAATATATTTTACAAGTCGATATTGCATATACCTAAACGGCGGCCGGATAACGAGCATATTGTCTGGCAATTAATAGGTAAAATCTACTATAGCCTCTTTTCCGCCTGGTATGAACTGGCGCGAACCAGCCAGTCGGGCTTTACACTGTCGGGTCTGGGTTTAAGCTGAGTTTACACTACCGATTAATGTTGGCGAATTGGCGAGTTGGACCAACTTCCCAATTCGCCAACTCCGAGTTGGCGAAAATAGAACATGTTCTAATCCCCAACTACGTAATGGAGTTAGCCGCTAGCTTTGTCAGCAGGTGGCGCAGCGGGAGTTAGAGTGTGTACAACGATTGCGCAATCACCGGTCAGTTGAAGAATACAGGAATCACGAATAGCCGATCGTATCGTCATAGCGAAATAACCAAGTTAAAATGCCTTCGTAAAGTCTGCAGCGATCACTTCAGAGCTGACTATACTAGCACATCGCCCTAATCCCCGCTATCGATCGGTTGGTCGCGCAACCTTTGCGTTTACACTGCGCCAGTAGTAATATCTATTGGTCTGAATAAAACAATCCGTTCGTACCTACTCTTACGGCAAGGTATATAAGACGTAGTTATATAATACAGACTCTACTATACTATACAGACGAGTGAAGAAGAGACGGGCAGATAGACGATGGATATCACTCAGAGTCCGCGAGAATGGTTGTACGTGTGTAGACTGCATGTGTAAAGTTGAAATAAAGAGTCATCGTTCGGATACCGTATCGGCCACGTACGACTCTACTAGATTGATTTTGAGACTATGCGAAGTGCCATCGTATAGAAGCTACACCCCCCCCCCAGCGACAATACAAAATGTCTTTAGGACAGAATCTCAAACCGCGGTTCGTTTTGTTTATCGAGTATGCGTCACTTACCGCCTCCACTTCTAAAGCAAATGTAAGGAAATCGCCAGATGTTACCGACTCCAACTGCATAGCCCACACAGCTCAGAAAGAATCCCATCGATCTTGTCCAGTTGCCACGAGCTTCATTGTCATCGCATCCTTCGGTGACCGTCACTCGCTTCTTTAGTGATGCATCGGAGATGTTACCGCCCGCCATCGCGCTCGAAATCAATGTTTTTTCTATCTGTAAATGTAGACGAGGCGCGGGGACTGTGTTTACATACTACGCGTTATCACAAATCGCATTTCACGTGCGTTCCAAGGCTCGTTTGCTCTTTGAACGTTATAATATGTCATACGCGTTTCTACGTACGTTTATTTTTAACGGCTTCTTTTTCTTTCTTTTTAACGCATACAGTAAAGAAATAGAACCTCCGGCGGATAGGTGCCCGCTGTAGCTTCGTGGTGACGGCTCTCAATACATGGCGAAAAATTATTAAACACATTTAAGAGTTCGATTCACTAAACAACGATACGTTCGTGTATCCTGTAACTGATGAGAGAGAGGGGGAGCGAGAGGGAGAGTGATTCGAGAGAAAAGAGAGAGAGAGAAGAGAGCGGGGGAGAGAGAGAGAAGAGCGGGGAGAGGACAGCAAAGAGAGAGTGAGTCACTTCCTTCCCTTTCTCCATAACAATAGAATCAGTGGGGAAAACGTCTGCCGATATGACTTACGATTTGGAACATAGCAGCAGCACGTTATATGTTAAAAATAATGCCGATTCTTCTAAGCCTATTCGAGTCTATTTCCGATGCTAATTCATAAATATGTATTAGATTAGCGGATATGAGGGCATACGAAACAAACGTCTCCGCTATGCTATGGGCCAGGTTTAATTGATTAGGCACTGTATGAATTTAGGAGACCGGTGAGTATATGTGCTTTCTAATAAAACGAATAATTTCAGCAAAACAATATTTCATTTATTTGATAAAAGGTAAAAACACAACTGCTTATGTCCTGTCATCATATCATGCCATCTATTGGTTGATTTAAATGTTATTATTGTTACATCGACCGGGAAGACTTGGGCACCTAATCATTATTAATTTATTTTTAAATTTAAGCTACTTAATAATTATTTGCTCTTCTTCCTCTTTCTCTCTCTGTCTGTGTGTCTCTCCTCTATGTCTCTCTCTTTCTCTCCTTTTCCCTCGTTTTCTCTCTTTCTATCCCTTCTCTCTCTCTCTCTGTCTCTCTCTCGCTGTCTCCTCCCTCTGCTCTTCTTAAAATTAACATTGCGATACGTAGCGAAATTAACCAAGTATTTGTCCTTTTTCTTCCTTTTTTCCTATTTTTCCCCATATGCGCGTAATCTTGATCATGAGTACTGGCAAACACCTGTGCCTATATATATCAATCAGTTGATAGATTTAATTGATAGAATTAAAAGCAATATTAGTTGTTGTTGGTAATACCTCTGTTACAATCCAACGATATCTTATCGTTCCTTATATACACGTAGGCATCTCGCTCCCTAATAAAGCATTGGCTCGACATTAACCTATAGTGGTTTTCTGTTTGCGTAACAAGTAGAATGTGAATTTCTAGTTATTTATTTAAAATTACTGATATGTAAAACGAATTATAATGATTGTGTTTTTTGGGCACCGAAATGTTTCTGCGATAATCTAATTTCAGTTTGTTTGCTTTAAATCTTTTCGCTTTTCGCTGTCGTTCTTTGGTTGGTATTCATAATTAAAAATAGAAGCGCACGTCTGTTCTGATCCGATAACAACGGTCCAGCTAAGAACAATCGATCGTGCGGTGTTATATAAATTATGTCGCCAATTCCACGCGATAGCACAAGAGTGCATCTTATCCAGACGGGTAAACGATAATAGTCAAACAAGCAAGCATGTGTCTATATCAAAAATAAAACCGGCAAGTACGCATACTAAATTAATTACATTGTTTAATTTCCTTTAGTTTTAGAAGCTAGTTAAAACACTTTGTTTCGGCGTCGTACGCGCATAAAACCAACATAATAATTACACAATGAGTCTGATATGTGACTATACTACTAGGCGGTGACAACAGCTTGACAACAGAGATGCGTGATTGAGCAATTGTGAGCTTTTTATGGCACATTGATAAAAATTATAACACAGCTATAAATATAATAAAAAAGAATCCATGATCATATTTGCCTATATAGATGCTCCTCATTATCAGTAATCTACATGTGCAAACAAATTTATAATGGTATCGTCAGTTAATAAACACTAAACATTATCATTGTAGCCATTTCCAGGTCTCTTTGTGTGTTTACAGATGTGCCCGGTAATATTCTCTAAATGTTTTTATGGCCTAGGATGGTCCGCTAGATGGCGCCGGAATGAGCATTGTTACCGGCCCTCTTGTAGCTGTCCATGTAGCCCCAGATTGTGCTCGTTAATTCGTACTTGTATGCTGTTTTGGTTGTCTATAATGGTGTCCCCTTCTGGAAAAGAAATGTTTATAAAATTTTATAAACATATTTTATAGATCGTGGCAAATTTTTGCACCTCATCCGTCAAATTTCTGCACGGGTAACAAGACTAACAGGGGATGTTATTCGTATAAAAAGATTAATTTAAACAAACGTGATTTTGCATTGCGAAAGTTCCGTGTCACTAGTAAAAGTTAGTACAAATATAAGCTGTTATATAGTTCAAACAAAAAGAGCAAGAAACAAAATTCCTAATACCTGTATTTACTCGTAACCCACTGCTCCTCTTGATGCCTGCAGCACCTCCGCACGTACTGTGGCTAAACAGCGTGCCCTTTGCATAGCCGCGGCTGGCAATTGACAAGGAACTCTTCCTGTTGCCCCTTCCCTTTACTGTCCTCTGGTGATGTCGGCATAGTGGCGAAGTTGTAAAATATTCAGGAGCGTCCGTTGCGTAGAACGTTTGCCAATATGCTGGTTCTGGGGGCATCATGTGATGAATGGCTGGGCGGGCTGATATGCTGGTTCCGGGGCATCATATGATAATGGGCGGAGGGCTGGTATGCTGGTCCAGGGCACCGTATGATGGCTGGACGGGCTGGTATGCTGGTTCCGGGGGCACCGTATGATGGCTGAGCGGGCCGGTACCTGGTTCAGGGGCATCATATGACGAAGAATGGGCGGGTTGGTATGCTGGTTCAGGGGCATCATATGACAAAGACGAAGACTGGGCGGGCTGATATGCTCGTTCTGGGACATCGTATGATGTCTGGCGGGCTGGTAATGCCTAGTTCTGAGGCACTATGATGGCTGGTCGGCTGTGTATGCTGGTTTCGTCGGGGCAGCATATGATGGCTGGCGGGCTGGTATGCTGTTCATGGGCCAACCATATGGCTTGGGCCGGGTGGTATGATGGTTCAGTAGGGGCAATCAGATGACGAAGACTAGGGCGGGCTGGTATGCTGGTTCGGGGCACCATATGATGGCTGGGCGGGCTGATATGCTGTTCTCGTGCACCATAATGATGACTGGGCCGGGGCCTTGGTAATCTTGTTCAGGGCAATCATATGAACGAAGACTGGGCGGGCTGATAGTGCTGGTTCCGGGGGCATCGTATGATGACTTGGGTGGGCTTGAATATGCTGAGTTCCGGGGCCCGTGATGATGACTGCGGCGGCTGGTATGCTGGTTCCGGGGCATCTTGTATGAGATGACCGGGCATCTGATATACTGGTCGTAAGTGGAGTTTGATTCCAGATATGTTGCACAGGACTCCATCATAGCGTGGTGAAGGTCGCGTAAGTCCTGGTGGCCACTGGTCCGCTGCTGGGCGCCATCTGTGTGTACTGCGCTGGTAACTACGCAGTAGCTGGGAACGTCGTAAGATCGTACCTGTATTGACAACAATCTAACGTAATGTAACTCATTGTAAAGTGCATCTTGCAGTTCGATTGGAATTCAGGCCTGCATGTAGCTTCGCACATGCAAACAATAGCGTGATCTAAATTCATAATATGCTACACGTGAAAATAACGTGCGTCATGTCTGCTTAACTGATGCCACCGTTACAGGTCATCTATATCATCCTTCGACGCATAATAGTTGCAATGCGGCTTTAATATCGTGACGAGGCCCAAAACGACGGACCTGCACGAAATCAAATATTTGGTAATAATATTTATAATTATATTTATATTAATTTTATATTAATAAATATTTATAAGAAAGAAGTTATCGGATCGCACGAGTACGTATTGCCACCGACATTGCATGAGATCTCGCGTGCACGAGAAGTTGGAGGTCCTCACATAATAAGCTGTCCTAATACGATAGGAAAGAATTGTACAAAAGACGTAATCCGTAGCATGACCGCGAGAGCTTTCCGTGACA